GAAGTTTATTAGTTCTTTAAAAAAAAAAGGGACAAAACACATCTAGAAAAACCTCCTAATTTACTTGGCTACCTTAGAAAACAGAACAGTGCTCACATTCCTGAATAAGGATGGCAGAGTTTTAAGTTGTCCCAGGTTCCTGCAGCAGGGGAAGGCAGACAGAAAAAAAAAAAGGGGCAAAACACATCTAGAAAACCTCCTAATTTTTTTGGCTACCTTAGAAAACAAAACAGTGCTCACGTTCCTGAATAAGGATGGCAGAGTTTTAAGTTGTCCCAGGTTCCTGCAGCAGGGGAAGGCAGCCAGAGCCACAGAGGTGGCGTGGGCCACGGGGCATCCCCTGAGCTGCCAGTGGTGCCAGCCCTGGCACTGCTCCCTGTCAGTCCTGGGATCAGATGGGATCATGCTGGTCTGGTGCAGAATGGGCATTTTCAGCATCCCTTCCCAGACCTGGTGCACAAGCAGGACGTGTCCATCACTGTGAAAGTTCTTTTGTGTGTCTTCTGGGAAGACTTAATTCCTACCACAAGAATAAAAGGGGGTTTAGTTTTACACAAGTGAAATTTTGTGGTGCCTGTGTGAGAGGTTTTGGAGGCAGCCGTGGTCACGGAGCTCTCCTGGGTTTGGTTTTCCTTATGGCTAATAACTCAGTGATAAATGCCAGTGAGATTTAGTAGGCAGCAGTGCTCCTGTGAGCAGGAGGAGCTGGGGACAGATATATTCTGTTCATTGCCTGCTTTTCATCAGGCAGTTTGCTTGCCATGTCCAAGAGGTATACCAGGGCTTCATATCTGCATCACTTCTCAAAAGGGAAGAGTAAAAGCTGATTGAAATGAAGCTGTTATCACAGTAGATTGCCCACACATTTTTAGGCCTCCTCTTTTCTTTGTGGACTGTTTTCCAGTTCAGGTTGTTTAACAGGATTGCTAAGGAGATTATTTTTAGGCTTTTGTTTTGATTTTTCTCCAAAGCACCTGCAAATCTCAGCATGGAGAACCTACCCTCCTCCTCCTCTCTCCAGTTATTCAAAATACCATCTCTCTCCATGCAGATTGGCTGGGGAACTTTAATCAAAACAGCAAATCAGACATTTTTGACTTTCATTTCAAGAAATGCAATTTGAAAAAAGCTTGCTCTATTATCCCCAGAGGCTTTATAGCAAGATACACAGGTCTTAAGGTTTGAAAATGCAAACCTAGATTAAAAAAGTTCACACAGGATAAAAGACACCTGATAGCACTAGATCCATCTGAATGTTACAAAGAAAAAATAAGGCTAATTCTGCCAATAATTGTCAAATTAATTACCAGACCTGTTGATATTTGCAGAAGTAGAAGAGGATGGAGTGGCAGAGTGGTGATTACCTTAGCACTGGCCTTATTCTTACTTTAAAACCTCTTGCAATTTATGAACCATTTGGGCCATTACCTGGATGGGAAAGGAGCAACCCCCAAAAAATCCCATTAGCACTTGTCCTTCTTTAACCAGGCTGTGCAGACTAAAGGATGCCAAGAGATATTTGCCCACCAGGCTGCAGAAAGCACAGGGGTATGGAGAGAAGCAAAGAAATTCAGATTCTTGTCTAGATGTCCTTGCCTGTGGTCCATAACATCTGTTGCTGTAAGGATTCAGAAAGGATTCAGGGATTAATGCATCAGACTTGTAAAAACTTTTGCTTCTGCTCTTTGGACAAGCACAATCACAACTTGGATCCCAGACTAAACAAACAGGAGGTTTTTGTAGAAGTGAACTTGGATTTTTCCACATTTCCTCCTATAATCAGTTACTCAGAGTGACACGTTGTGGTTTTGATGTGCATTTCAAATATGCAACTGGATGTGTTACTTTTTACTCCTAATAATCCAGTGTCTGCAATACAGAGGCTGAAAGAGATGAGTCAGATTTGGAGTTTGAAGCTTCCATTCCCCATTTCTTTGGAGTTTTTTGTGTTTGCAGGACCCTCCTCATGTGAGCTGTTGCTTTATGCTGTGATTTGTTTTCTTAGACTCTTATACTCAGTGTTATTTCAGGGCTCAACAGAGAAATCCCAGGGAAAGCCAGGGTGTATGCTTTGACATAAGGATTTCCCCATTCTTCTTGCCTGCCACTGAAGAAGACTGTTGGAGATCACTGGAGATGTTCAAACTCCAGAATTTAACTTTTATTCTTATTTGCAACTATTCTTATAAGACATCCTCACTTTGCAATATCCAATGCCTGCTCCATGTATTTTGGAGAGGTTTGCAGCTTGCCATGTTTGCTTCTCTTTTGCTTCCAGGCTACTCAAGGAGGAGAGGATCTGGATAAAGATTTCACTGAGGAAACAATAAAAGAATATGATGGGAATTATTATGATAGTTACTACGACCGAACGGTCTCTCCTGATATTGGCCCTGGCATGCCTGCTAACCAGGACACCATCTATGAAGGGGTAAGAGAGTTAATTTTCCATTAAGGGTAAGACTAGTTCAAAGTGTTTTCCTTCCCAGAATTTATAGCAGAGAGATTAACAGCACAAAACCCAGTGAGAGCATCTCATTCACCCCCAAGCACGTGTGTTTTGCACGAGGCAAGGAAGAGGTGCCCTGTTTCTTCTCTAAGCAAACATCAGCAGTCCTGTGTTGCCCCCAGGATCTCCAGTCCCTGCTGGGAGTGGTGGTGCTGGTGCAGGGGATGTCCTCTCTGACTGGCTGGCTTTGTGTTTCCCTTGTGTGCTGCAGATCGGTGGCCCACGGGGTGAGAAAGGACAGAAGGGAGAGCCTGCTATTATTGAGCCGGTAAGAACCATCTGGGGTTTGGGATTTTGGGGCTTTGATTGGCTTTTTCCTAAGGAAAAAGGTACAAGGGTTATGTTCTCTGTGTCTTGGTGCTCTCAGGGGTCCAGCTGGGAGGCGAATTTCCCATGGAAGAATTCCTTCCTTCATTTAAAAACTTGGAATATAAAACACTGTAAATTTTTCTTTTTTAAACTTCAAAAAAATGACCTAAATGATGAAGGAAGTGCAAAATTTCCCATGAAATCTCTCATGTTCCAGAATAAAACCCAGCTCTTTCAGAACTGCACCCTTAGGGCATGTCTCACCTCCCCGGAGCACTCGCAGCCAGTGGCTGGGTCATATCCTGACCTGAACTTGCAGCTTGGGGCTGGCTTTAATTGTGCAACTAATGGGTTTATCTCTGTGGAAATAAAAGGATTCTCCCTCTACATGGTTATGGGAGAGGAGAGGTTTGCTCCTGTGCCTGCTCCAGGGTCCCACCAGCTTTCTGCTTCCAGACAAAGCCTGTGTCATCCTGAGAGTGGAGCTCAGCACTCTTTGTTCACAATCCCACCTTGGTCTGTTCCTCTGAGGGTTTTTTTCCTTTCTGAAGAGTGGTTATAAACTAACTATGCCCTTTGCAGTTTGCCAAAAATGTGGATGCCCAGCTGAGCACCCTGTTAGGTGAGGATGGAGCTGGTCCCCAGCTGCCTTTGCAGTGGGGGCAGCTGGTGCTTGCTCAGAGGTGCCCGTTGAGCAGAGCAAGAGGCTGTTTGCTGAGGGTCATGTGTGTGTCCCTCACTGCACAGCAGGATGCTGAGGAACCCCTGTGTCTGCTCCTCCCCAGCTGGGACTTCAGGTCCTTGCCACCCCCTCCCCTGAGCCTGGTCCCCCAAGGGTCGAGCGCACGCTCGCTGCACACCAGCAACTCAATTAACCTCATTTTGCTTGGCAGAGGGCCAGCACGGTGCCCGGTGGCACGGTGGCACTTCCCAGCACTTGGAGGCCATTATTTTTCTTTGAATTCTCCCTCTCTTCCCTTCTTGGCCTGACACTTTTGTAGATAGCAGTGGGGGGGCTAGGGAGAAGCTGGGGGTGCAGCAGTGGGGCTTGAAAAGCCTCCACGTGTGCCTCATAAAAACATTTCCAACCTCTCCTTCCTTCCCTTCCCTTCTGGCTCTCACTCCTTCTGCCATCAAAAGGAGGATTTGCCTCTCAGAGGGGTGTTGGGGGGTGGCTGAACCCCACAAAGATGAGAGCAGAAACCCAGCCTGCCCTGTCCAGAACCAATCTGAAACGCTACGAAGCCAACCCAACAGTTAAGTTTAATCATCCAGAAGGAATTTGGCTGCCTTGGCTCTTTCAAAACACTGGAGCACATATAGCTTTTGCCAGAAAGTAAACAAGACCAAATGCTGCCTTCTCCCTCGCCGTGAGGTTCCTCTTCAGCACAAACTCAGATTTGCTGCGCTCTTTAGGGCTTTTGGGATTCTTTTTTCTTTAATTTTTATTTTTTTTTTGGATGGGAGCTGCAGCAAAGGGGGGATAAAAAGCAAAGGCAGCAGTCGGAGGCTGCTGCTTTCTCTCTCCTTTTCCATCCAAGCCTCAATCCTTGCTCGGTGCTGACGCTCGCTGGAGGCAGCCGGGCAGCACAGGCACAGGAGGGATGCAGGATGCAGTCAGGGCTGCCTGGGGCTCCCCACATCCCACCTCTGGAGGCACCAAGTGTGACCTTCACCTCCTGGAAACCCTCTGACCTTCAGGGGCCCCTGGGGCTCGGGTTTGTTCAGCCTCTGCGTGGCACTTTTGTGTGTGGCAGGCAGATTTTGGGCTGTTTTGGGATACAGGCTTTGCTTGTGGGTAGCCCCTGGGTGTTGATTGAGTGCAAACAACACCCTGTTTTCCCTAGGACAGTCCCAAATCTGTGGTTTCCTTGCTACCCTCAAGGTGGATGCCCTCAGTAGTGTCTCCTCACTAGTCCTGGTCCTAAAACCCTCCCACATTTCCATTGCTCCTGTTGATGATCAGTCATATAAACAGTGGAGGATTCTTGCCGAGGAGAATCTCCAGATGTCCCTAAAGCTAGAGCTCAACATAAACCAACAGATAAATACAGGGAGATGCCAAGGATGTTTGCATTGCAAATTGGCTAATTAGCCCAGACTCTTCTCCCATGCAGAGGAGTGTCCCAAGGCTCTGCAGCCAGCCTTGGGAAGCAGAGCTTTGGTGCTGAGCATGCTCAGACCACGGTAATGCTGGCACCCAGCAGCCCAAGGAGGTCCTGGGGAGGCTGATGTGGGGCCATGGCTCTCTGCACCAGCTCAGAGACAATTAGTAGTTTCTGTTTGGGAGCCTGCCACACCAGAACGTGCCATCGTGGGTCCCACCAGGGATGGATTTGGGGTGTTCATGTAGGGAGGGGTTTGCTGGGACTTCTGAGATGTCCTTATTGTGTGTCTGAAAAGGGGCCAGTGCTTACTGGGTGTCCTGAGGGACACTTTCTCCATTGGCATAGCTTGCCTCTTCTTGGTAGCCTCCAACAGTAAATAGCTCATAATTAGTGTGGGTTGGAGGAATTTTGTGTAGAGTTCACCCCTGACTCCCCCCCCCCAGAAAAAATGAGTTGTCTCCAGGGCAGAGAAACTGCTGTGAAAGTGGGCACTGGATGAAGTCCTTCAGAATGACTGCATAGATGCTTCTGTGATGATAGCAGCAGAAAGTTTCCCCTAACTCCTCCAAAGGAAACAGAAGCCAGGTTTTAAATGAGGTGTTAATGAGCAGTAAGGACACCAGGCAAGACAGAAAACTCTGCTGGCTGTGCATTAGTGGTGCAGAAACATCCATCCCACTAATGGAAGAAGGGATGGTTCATGGCAGCATGTTTTACCCTATTTTTTTCATCCTCTGGGCTTAGAGACTGTGGCTCCTTGGGGCAGGAACGCCTGGATTTTCCTCTGGACTCAGTGCTGGCTGCTGCAGTGGCTGCTGTGGGGTCAGCCAAGGCTTTTAGCCCTGGAGCCTGAGCCCAGGATGTGGGCCAAGAGTTACCCACAACCAGTCCCTGCACTTGCTTCCTCCAGGCTTCTCCCCTATGAGCTGGCTGCTTATCTACAGATTATTTACAAGCTGATTTCATCCCATGGGATAAATGTCCCTGTTGGCTACAGATGAGCTGGCAAATGCTGGGACTGCTTTGGCTTGACCTGGGTGCTGCTGGGGGCATGGTCACTGGTCCAGAGAGGAAAGGGCAGTGATCACCATGGGGATCTTCCCAACAGAGTCCACTCATGCCTTCTGGAAAGCATTTGCCAGCTTTAGTGGGAGACTTCTCTCCTGTCTTTTTACATATCCATGGAGGGGGTGGGGGAAGAAAGCTCCATTCTACTGAATCCATGATAGACCTGATTTAAAGTTATGACAAAATATTTAGATTAAAAGGAATGGAATAACATTATTCTACCGTTTTGCCCACACAGTGATTTCCTAGGTACACAGAGTAAATCACAGCAAGCAGTCTGCTGGGAAAGTAGTTTTTTAAAAAAAAACACCTTGCAATATGGTTATTAATATATTTTTTTAAAAGTCTAGTAACAGCTTCTTCTTGAAGAGAAGCTCTTTTTCTGCTCCAGCACCATCCAGGCTGGATGTGCCCCAGGGTTTGCCCCTTGCCTGGCATTGAGCTAAGGGAGAAGGGTCGTGGGTAGGAGGGTGGCACTGGGGGAAAGGGTTTATCTGCTCTGCCCTGCATTGTTGTGGCTCTGTTTTGCCTCTGACAACAAGGACATGGGAGGTGGCATCCAGAGAACATGGAAACCCTCCAGCTCTGGGATGCCTCAACGAAGCAGCAAGAGCTGAAATATTTAATGGATAAAGCATTGGGCTTTCCAGCCCTGTAACTAGAGTGACTTTGAGGATGTGCCTTACTAATCACCTTTTTTTTTCCCCTTTCTCTTGCTTAGGGTATGCTGGTGGAAGGCCCACCTGGTCCTGAAGGCCCAGCAGTAAGTGGCACTTTGTCTACATCTTGCACCAAAGGGGGTGTGCAGCTTTGGGTGCTGTGCCCTGTGTGTGCACAGAGCACTTGGGATCCATCCTTCTTGGGCAAAAATAAACAGAAAGCTCCAATTCTTTCCCTTTCCTTTGTACAAATGTTACAAATAATAACACGTTTTCCTTCAGTGGCTCATTTTTTCTGTCTTTTCTATGCTAGGGTCTTCCAGGACCTCCAGGACCAACTGGACCTGTGGGCTTAATGGGTGATCCTGGGGAGAGAGTGAGTACCTTTGTTTTATTTCTCTTTGGCTGAAGCCTTGGGTCACTTTGTGCACACAGAGTGGGGCTGTGGTGTATTGCTGGAGCCCTAAATTACCACCCATCCTGTCAGAGGCATCTCCTCTGAGTCAGCCCCAAAAGGAGCTTATGGTAGGGTGCAGAGCAGAGCTTTACATCCAGGGACAAAGGGTGGGGAGCAGCCCTGCTAGTCAGATGCATTAAATTGCTTTCTCCAGGTTAAAACCAAGAGCAAGGCTGACAAACCCTCTGTTCTCAGTTTCACCTTTTGGCCCGTGGCTGCAGGAACTGGGCTGTGGCACTGGGAAAACAGGATGAGCAAACACACACAGCATCTGGTAACACAGTAAAATGAAGTTCAAGGGCCATTCCTCACCCTCCTTCCAGCTGGTGGTGTGAGTTCTTGGGTTTGGTTGGGTCCAGGATGGCCCCAGGTTCATAGCAGCACCCTGGATCTTTTCTCACTCCTGTTTTGTGTCCCAGACAGCTCCTGGTGGGAAGGTGGCTCTTGTGCAGCACTTCATCTTTTTTGTAGGTGGCTTATTGTTCTGTTCCAGTGAGCACTGAGGGCTGATTTATGTGCTGTAGCAATGCAGTAACTTTGGCTTTGCACGTTTCATTCTGGTGTTTCTTGAAATCCATTTTGTCCCTGGCAGCCACTGCTTTGGGAGGTGCTGCCTGCAGAAGCCTCCAGCTTTGGGGTGTTCATGGAAAGCAGCTTCTGTGGACTGTGCCCCCCAGATGCCATAACATAGCACCATACATGAAACTAGAGGAGTGTATGTGGTGTCCTGGAGCAATACTGGTTTGGGCTCCCCAGTTCAAGAGAGACCAGGAACTACTGGGGAGAGTCCAGTGGAGGCTACGAGGATGCTGAGGGGCCTGGAGCATCCCTGGGACCAGGACAGGCTGAGAGCCCTGGGGCTGTTGAGCCTGGAGGAGAGAAGACTCAGAGGGGATCTGATCAATGCTGATCAACAGCTAAAGGGCAGGGATCAAGAGGCTGGGGCCAGACTCTTGTCAGTGCTACCCAGCAACAGGACAAGGGGCAATGGGCACAAACAGGAACCCAGGAGGTTCCATTTGAACATGAGGAAAAACTTCTTTGGTGTGAGGGTGGCAGAGGGGAGGGTGTCCAGAGGGGCTGGAGCAGGCTGCACAGAGAGGCTGTGGAGTCTCCTTCTCTGGAGAGATCCCAAACCCACCTGGATGTGACCCTGGGCACCCTGCTGTGGGTGAGCTGCTGGAGCAGGGGGGTTGGGTGAGATGATCTCCAGAGGTTTGGGTGATGGGGCACTGAACTGGGGGCTGTGCTGACAGGAGGAGAGCAGTTCCCACCTCAGTGCAGCCCAGCTGAGGGGTGTGGGGAGCTGCAGGCTGGTGCAGCAGCAGCACAGGAGACACGTGGACCAGCAGCAGTCGTCTCACATGAGTAGATTCATTGATTTCAGCAGGTTTGCTTGAGCAAAACAAATGGAGCTTGGAGCTTGACACAGTTTCGGTGCCTTGACGCATCTTGATGTTGAGTGCAGTGAAATGTGCTTTCAAAATAGCTTCTGGTGTGCTGCAGCTTCGTCTGGGGAATGGGGCTCACAGGAGCCCTGGTGCCAGGGGTGGCTTTGTGAAGGCAGGCTTGGCTGGAGGTCTGTTTTTGCAGAGTTTCTCCTGGAAAGCACTGGAGGAGAGCAGGCAGCAGCTCCACAGAGCACAGAAGATGCGCTCGAACGCACAACATCTCCCTGCTGTCAGTGCTGTCACCCAGCAAATGCAAAACACCCTCCTGAGGAAGGGAGCACTTCTCAGCAAATGCTTCCCTAATCTGATCACCGAGGTCCTCGCCGTGGTTCCCTGGCAGATAAAGCCACCAGCTGCCCATCACTGGCTTGCTTGCACAGCAGCATCCTCCTGCCAGCCAACAGTTGGGTTCCAAATGAGGAGCCACATCCCATTTGCCTCTGGGGTGCCTGGGAAGGATGAGCTGGGGTGGCCCAGGCTCTCTGCACTCATAGGGTTTCCTGCTCTTCTGGCAGATTTTGGTTGAATTCTGCCCAGACAAGGTGAGGAAAGCCCATGAACTGATTCAAATGAGGAAGTCTGGGTAGATAATGTGGCAATATCCCTAATGTGGGCCCTGTACTTTTTTAATTAAGGCTGTTTTGGGTCCCTGGGGGCTTGGCTGGAGTCCACTGGCTGCTGTGCTCCCACATCCCCTTGGGGCATTGCTGCAAAGACCCCCACCTCATTTACAATCCTGGTGTATTTATTGCTTTTTGATGGACCAGTAATAAGGTTTCTTGTGGTTGTGACATGATTGAGAATGAGAGGCCCTGACTGTGCTCCATCGATTGGTGCCTGCAAGCTCAGAAAGTCAATACACAGCTGTAGGCTCAGCCCATGGCCAGGAGCCAGGGCTACTGCTCACAGAGGTTGGCTTAACCCTTGAGACACTGCAGGACTGGTTCATCCTGCACTACTCCAGTAGAAGGACCAAGGGAGCATTCTTCATCCTTGAGTGTTGGACTTCATAGAGGATGGGCAAGGTCCAGGCAGTGTTCTGCATCTTGCAGTGCTCAAGGATCAGTCAAGTGTTGTGTGGCTTCACCAGGCTCTCTCTGTGGGTCTTTGTTCTGCATGGTTCCTACATGTTGCCCAGCTTTATCTTCTCCCCTTGATGTGCTTGCTGCTTCTGCTCCTAAGGATTCTGTTGCCTGGCAGAATGGATGCTGACCCTGGTGACAAGGGAGAGGCTGTATTTCTGCTCTTTGGCCAGGCAGATGCAGACATTTGGTGACCAGGCTCCTCTTGGATGTCCATGCAAACCCAATCAGCAGCAGTCACCTTGTCCTGCTGCTGATGTTGCTCCACACCCTGAAATGAAAAGCATCATTTGCAGTCTAGCCCTGACAGCACATCCTGATTTTCTGAGTGTCCAGAATGGGAGGCAACATGTTGTGCATGGAGAAGTGAGGAACGTGCAGAGCCAGGAGCTGCGACTGTGTTGAAATCCTCCGTTTCAATTAGAGCAGCTCCTCTTTTAATTTGTTTATTATTAACCCTGTGCACAGCTCATGAATTTACATGACACTTGTGCACGGGGAGGCACATTGCCTGACTTTTTATTTGCAATCAGGCAGGTGCACTGAATTAATACACCAACAATGTTCAGCTCTGTTAATATTGGCCAACGCTCCTTTCGCTCTGTTTTATTCATCCTCTTGGCTTGTTCATTTCTCCTGGTGGTTTCCCACTGTGCACAGGAGCTTGTGTCACCAGCAAAGCCTCTGAGCTGCCTCTCTGGGGGAGGTTTCACAGGATTCATCTGGGTGGTTTGGGGTGACTGAGGTTTCTTTGAGCAGTGGGAAGAAAAATATGGCACTTAGGAGAGTGGAGAGCTGTTCTAGGGCTGCTCTGCTCTGGAATGGAGAGAGTGGGAAGATGTGCTCCTTTCAATGAGGTAAAGTGCAGCTCTGTCACCAACCCTGCTGCATGTTGGAAATCTGGGGTGTCTGGGTGCTGTGGGATCAGCCTGCTCACAAAACAACAGCTCTATTTTCCAACATCCTGTAGTCATTGCATCCTAATGGGCTTACTCCCCCTGAGGGCACTTTTGCATTACAGGGTGTAACAGGATTCCTAAAATCCTTATTGGGGTTCTGAAAGGCAGAACATTTTCAGGCTGCCCTTTTTTTTTCCATCAGATGGCAAGCACTACCTTCTCTAGAAAACCCCAAATACTGTAAGAAAGATCTTCTGTTGCATCATTTTCTCACCAGGGCTGGAAATGCCAGAAAAAATAATGAGAGGGAGAGAGACTTAAGGCAAAGGTTGAAGCTCAACACCCTGGGCTGTGGGGAACCACTCTGCCTGTCACTGTCTGCTATTCCAGGAGCCCAAGCACACCAAGCTTGCAGTTGAAACATTCCTTTGAAATATTGCTTTGGTGTTTGCACTCAGCATGGCATTTTAGAGCACTGCACCAAATGAAAGTTGAAGTCCCCATCCCTGGCTGCTATATATCAGCACTCTCTATTTACATAATAAGAGGGACACAGATTTACACCAACAGTGAGTCCAGCCTGCTGCATTTCTTCCAGGCAGTCAGGAATTTCCATTTGCAAAGTGCTTTATGGGTTTGGGTTTTCCTCCACGCCGTTGCCATCCCCCTGCTCCACCCCACAAGGAAAAGACCTCACACACCTAACCTGAAACAAAAAAAAAAGAGGTGTTTGTGGCTCAAAACATTGCATCAACATTTGTCAGGCTGAGTACACACAGAGAGATAAACAAGCTCCTTCCTGATCCATCATGTGCAGGATCGGAGCTGAAGGAGAAGACAGAGAGGGAAGAAAGTTTATTCTATCAAATGAGCCTGGCCTAAATTATTTATTGTGCTTCTGCTCCAACAGATGGGGCTGCCCTCTGCACCTCCTCAGCAGGGTCAGGGGCTCTGGTGTTGGCCAGACTAAATAAACAGCCTGAATGGAGCATCAGGAGCTCGTCCTGAGGAGTGGATGGGTGGGGGTGCTCTGCAGCCTCCCCTGGGTGCAGAGGGAGCTGCTGGGGTTGGGGTTGGGGTGGTTTTTGCTGATGAATCTCTGGCTGCAGCAGTGTCTGTGTTGTTATTCTGGGCTGGATGCAATGTGGAGCTGGGCTCCTGCTCCGTGGTGCTGCTCCTCTGCCCTGTAATTGTGGTGCAGGTCCAGCCAGAGCCATGCACCAGCTGGGGCAGGGTGGAGTAGTGGTGGCTCTTCACCCCCACCCTGGTGCCAGGCTCTAATTTAGGGCTTGAAACTTTAGCTTGAATGTTTGGGTTCCTTTTTAAGAGGGAGATAATAAGGAAAATGTGAAGTTGAATGTGGTGTAGGGAGAATGGAAGAAGAGGGAACAAAGAGATGCATCAAGATCATGCTGAAAGATGCTGGGGCAAGGCTAACACACCAAATGGTTTACTTTGGCCAATTCTTTTTTTCCAAATGTTCTGATTTTTAGGGACTTTGTTACCTACTTATCTTTTCTTTCTCTCTCTCCCATCTTCATCCACCTCCCTTTGCCTTGTGGGATGAGTGTGAAACTTCCTGGGGCAAGGTCTGGCTCTTCCATGTCCCTGGAAGAGCGTGTCAATATGTCTG